AACATTACATGAATACAGAAAAATATTAATTACTATGTGCGATAAATATTGAAAGTAAATGTTCTCACATATGATGTGTTGTTATAAAAATGATTATGAAAAATGTAAGTACGATGTATGAATATCATGTGAAGTGATACATGATACGTGAAGATTACAATAATACACTTATTTTACTCGTGCAATGTAATAAACATGCTGTAAGTTAATAATTGTTAATTTGCTATGTCATAGTGTACTGGAATTACATAGAAATTGTACCTGCATTTAATCGTCATAAACCATCAGATATTGTAAAAAGATAATAAATGCATAGTAAGACATAAAACAACAGTAATAAAAATTGTTAAATGTAAGCATAGATAACGTTTGTCTTTCTATAAATATACAGTATACAGTGTGATTATTTTATCACGAATTACTTAATTAATCGATAAGTACAAATTATTATTTATTTATATTTCTTTCTTTTAGTTACACGTTTTTATCAACTTATTAATTTAATTGTATTTTTTATGTTCATCCCTTATACCTTATTATAGAGTCAACTTTTTTTATATGGCAACATACATTATAAACTAGCTTTTTTTTAAATCTGGTCGATAACAACTTTAGACCAATATTTTAGAAGGTATTGATATATTTATATTTAGGCGAGAGGAATAGAATAGCCGAAAATTGTTAAATTATATAAATAACATTAGCCACTCTTCATATCCAGTAAATACTTTAAATTGTATTATTTAATTATCTATTAAATAAGCTAGCTAATTACGGAAGTTTCCATTTGATATATTAAATTATACAACCATATAAGGTACAAGGGATGAACATAAAAAAACTTTATAATTGTAAAATTGAGAAAAACATTGAACTAAAAAAAACAAATAAAAAAACTATTAATTTTAATTTTATTTTTCGATTATTTAAAAGATTTATAATATGTGAATCACTCTGTATAATACTATGATTAATAAACTAATTGGTTGACAGATGAAAAGTATACTTTTTTAGTGACTTCATAGGGAAACCTACTAAACCTGTTATAGTATTAAGTCCTGTGAGTAAAAAATATAAATAAATAAAATATCATTAACATTTATAAAAAAGCTTTAACATATCATTCTTCAACAATTCCTCCAAAAAATACTTCTTATTAAATAATATACTTTTCTTTTATTATTGATTTTCGAAAAAAAAAATTCTCTGTTATATTATCTTATTTTTTTTTTTTTGTAAAATGATTAATATAAATTTTTTAAAGATAAATTAACTGTTTCATAATTGATATTTCTATTCAAAGAACGGTTTTATCGTTTTTATTCTATTGTCAGTTACCTTTATTGTTCTAAGTGACAAACTATAATTTTTAAGTGGACATTTCTGAGAAAAATATATGCAAGTAAAATGATAAGTAACACTGTTTAAAAGAAAAAAAGGTTAATATTACGTTAGATACGTACCAAACAGTTGGTAAAATCACGTACGTGATTTCAACTGTTAAATTTTTTATAACAGACTTAATGTGTCATTTCTTGATCAGTGCGTGGCAAATATTTTATTGAAACATTAACTAATCTGTAAAAAATAGATTAATTTTACTTCGGATTTTGCGCTTCTTTATGAGTACAAAGATATGTGTGTAACTCTAAACTCATTAAATTAACTTTTTTCTCAGCAGCTTCAATCAGAGATTTATTTTTTAATGGCGGTATATATATATATATATATATATATACACCATAAATAACACAATTTAAAGTTATATTTATCAAATAAACCGTTTTATAACCAAAAAGATTAATTTTAATCTTCAAAAATAATTCATATTCAAAGCATTTATTATTGTTTGATACTAAGAGTTTGCTTTTGGCAACCTTTAAATTGTAAAAAAAATATTTATAACAATTTTATAATAATTTGATAAAATTAAATTATTAAGTAGTAAATGGTTATTTGTTTTTAAATATGAATTTGTATAAATGATTTATTAAAATAAAAATCTGTTATAAATACTTTTTTATTAATCGTCAATTATTTTAGATAAAACACAATATCAAATTTAAACATAGTTAACTTCTATTGAGTGATAGTAATTATCACTAATAGTAATAATTTTTAGTTTTTTATATTTATGTTCTTTTTTTATACATAAAATAGAATAATCTAGTCTATCTACTTAGATTAGATTAGATTAGATACTTAGATAAAATAATTATTAAAATTTATTATTTATTATACAAATTTTAAGTTCATAAAAAATTAACGTGGCATAAGCTACTTTGGTATTCTAATTAAAAGACGGATTAAAAAATAATTTGACGTTTAGATAACGTTATCTTATAATTGAATTTAACGTTAATCGACATTTAATATTTACACAAATTATTATGTTTAACGTTTTAAATATTGACACGTCATTCAATTATTTTCGTTTATTGGTTTAACACTACTACAATTTTTACATTTAAAATTAAAAGGGTTTAAAAAATAAATCACTGCCATAAGCAATTTTTTATATGAGCAAGTGACTACTTTTCTATTAATTTAATGATGTTTATGTTTATTTTTATTTTTATATAAGAAATTATATAAACATTGTATTATGTTTATCGATATTTTACGTTTATTGATATCAAATATTTTTCGTTTTTTGATTATGTTTTGACAACATTTTTCGGTTCAAACGTTATTCATAACGTTTTCTTGGCGTTATTTGTATAATAGAGAAATAATTTATTAATGTTGAGGTTAATCCACTATTAAATAAAAAAATTCAGTTCATTCTTAAACTTATATTTAAGTATTACTAAATTTCTAATATATCTGATACTATCAGAAAAAAATCCTTATCACAGTGAAGTCGCGGTACAGTGGCATAGTTGGATCACGTATAGATAAAATCTGATAGTGATTAAAATACTATCATCAAAAATGCTTCAATGCAAATCTGTTAAATATCACAATAATTTGTGCATTTATAATTTTACAATTTGTGTTTTAAAATATCATTAAAATATGCTTGTCAAATTATTTACTTAATTGAAAATAGAGTATTTTATTTTTATTGTTATTTTCTTTAACATATGATTTCTCAGAATAGAACTCATAATGGTCGATTTGGTTTTTTAATATTGTAGTACACTTTAAAATCTTTTATTTAAAATAGGTTTCGGATTGTAGAACATTCCGAATCATTTTCAATAATTGAAAATAAAGTAATTTTTTTGTAAAAATTAGTTTTTTTTTACCCATAAACTAATAAAATCGGTCCAGTGAGATCTAAGAGTTTTCCTGGTAGACATAAAAAAACACATTGTGGTAAATTCAATGCCTTTTCAATTTTGCTACGAAGTTAAAAAATTATACATTCAAATAGCTTTACTTAAAAATTAAAACATTTTTTAAGTTGTCTTACACACTGATATGTTACTTAGGCCACTTAAAAAATGAAAAATCCAATTTTCCAAAATTAATCACCTAGTAATGTCTACTAATAAAAGTACTTTCGAGGGTTTAGTCGATTTTTCTAAAGATGAAACATCAATTGTTGAGTAGTTTAAATCATAAAAACAATTTTTGAAAAATAGTGACTTGATCAATTTTAGCGCTATACGCCTTATATATATACAATGAATTGTTTCTAACTGTAACCACATTCAAAATATAAAATGCTTTTATGCTATGCTAAAAGTTAAAAAAATTATTGTTATATTATTTGTTTTTTATAAATTCTAGTTTCTTGTTTTTAGTAGATTTAAAAACACGGCATTAAATGCGTTTTCAAATCTACAGCATACAATGAGAATTATATAATTTAATAAATACACTATGGTAGTTACTTGACAATTCATTAACTATACTGTATTATTTTCAACGGTCAAGTATCATACAAGTATAACATGATATTATTTAATTAAAATAATAAAGCTGGGTAAATGTTATATTCGTTAGTCAATAAGCATAAAATTGTCAAACAAAATAATGCACTTTAAAATTTTGTTTCAATTTTGATTTTTTAATATCTGAGAATTTTATTTCTTGATTCACAACTATTTATTCATTGAAATAGTTTATACCGAATTCCACGGGGCGACAAGTACGGCGACAGTGAAATTATCGAAGCGTTTCGGGTTAATATAGTGTTACACATTGTGAATAGACTGATATAAAATAATATAGCTCACTAAAAAGACATATACTGATTCGGCCTCTAGTCGTTGACACCACTTAACCCCGGTTTAAAAAAAACTATCGCGGACCGCGGATTATTAACTCATTTTTATTGCCGTCCTATAATGGTGGTCGAATTCATTAAGCGGGTTCGCCCCTCCATTCCTGTCTCTCCTACATACGTATTAGGTCAGTCCGCAAATGCAAATTTAACATGTCATATCGATTTTTGCAAATTGCTATTTAATTTCTCACTGTGACTTTGTATACATCTCCGATCTCGTAACCTTTGTTCTGGACCATATTCGGTCGATATAAACGCAGGAAGTAGTTGTGTAGCCACGAAAACCGTCTTAGGACTTTGCCACAACGAGCTCATACCGTGACAACTGCAAGAGCACCTAAAAAATACAAATCAAGGAAACCGTTAATCCTTGTGACAATGCGAAGGAAGGAAACAACGGTTCATCGGTTCTCTTTTGACTGATTGAACTTCGTCTAAAACTAGTATTCGATATGTATAAGTCGAGGGGACGAGCTGAGAGATGAAAAACAATAAATTATATTATATTACTCAATGAAAGAAAAAAATAGAACCGTCTCTCGATCGAATTAAGTAACAATATTGTGAGCAATAAACATTAAAAATAGACATTGCCAGGGAAATGACAATATTTTTTTTTTCATAAAACATTAAAAATCGATATAAATAATGCATTTTAATTCTATATACGCTTATCTACTAAGTTCATTGTACTCATATTCAAATAATGTGCAAAAATGCATAACATGATATTAATTCACGATGCTCATTTATTATTTTGCAGAATCAACCAATAATTTTACCGCCACAATTACATGGGTCAACATCTCCTGTGTCAGCTCCAACCGACGCCCAAACTGGTACAGGTAAGACTTCACTATCCAAACATTTGTTTTCCTTACTGTTATGTAGTTAAAAATCTGAAACATAATTAGATTTCGTAAGGTTTTAATTTTTGTGGTATCAATACTCAATTATCATTTGAGTGAATAAATCTTATAGATGACAAGTTTTGTTTAAGCAGCAAAAATTTGTCATATATTGTTACATTTTTAGTTAATCAATTTATTATAAATAAAAATCAAACTTACCCAAGTTTTTTTTTTTTTAGTGATTGATTATTTCTTTTTTGAAGGCATTATCCAAGTAATCAAATAAGAATAAATTATTATAAACATATTTATTTAAATCTTATTAACTATTTCAATCATTTTAATTAATCAATTTTAAATGTACATTTTATAATAACTTAAACTTACTCAGCATATAAGTTTACTACAAATTATGGTCACAAATTTATGTTACAAAAAAACTTATACTCATTAACAAGAAAAATTTTTTAGAATATAACAAAAATATTTTGATATATTCTCAACATTTTATCAGAACATACTTTGGCAGCTAATATTAGACTTTCAGTATGTACGAACAGTATATGTCTAAAATATTATATAAAAAAAAACATTTTGAAGATATTTGACATAATGTTTATAAAAATAAATAGAGCGTGTATTCTCTCGATACTTATGTATAATTATTAGTTAAAAACATCACACATGTAACAGTTTAATATGTAGATATTTATTTACATTATCGTATTAAAAAAAACCCAGCACAGGGGGGTCGCGGCACAGTGGTGACGTGGCATAGTTGGATCAAGTATAATGATATCTGACAGTGATTAAAATCACTATCAAAAAAAAACGCTTCGATGCAAATCTTTAGATAGTGTTTAATTTTAAAAAATTGGTGGATTATTCCAAAAGCTTCATAAACTGCTAGTTCCTTATTAATATCCTGATTAAGANTTTAAATCCCCCCTTGTGGGCAGGTTAAGGGTTAAATTTATGAAAAAAATATACCAAATGAAAGGTAATGATATTATGCATCTATATAAAAAAGAATTATATTGATATGTTTATTTTTGAAAAAGTTATGGCACTTTTAATTAAAAAAAATTGAAAAAATTTCGAAAATTAGCGATTTTTAAATTCGTAATTTTTTTGGAGGTTTCCCCCATTTACGGGGAACGAGGGAATTTTTTTCAATTTTTAAGGGTAATGTCTTCGACTAGATACGATTTGTGATCTTTTGACGTATCATTGAAAGAAATCGATTCGGTGAGAGCTGAGAAAAAGTGGTAACAGACACAAAAAAAAAAAACACATCTTAGTAAAACCAATACCTTCTCAGCTTCGCATCGAAGCTAAAAATAAGGGAGGCTTTTGTACATTTTAATAGTTAAAACAATACATCTGAATCAATATTCAGATTTGAAATAAATATAAAGATAGAAGTTTTAAATGTATAAAATTTAAAATTTTGATATACTAAATCATCAGTACCAGATGATTGAATATTTAATGAATATGTTCACATTGTTTTACATTCAATTGAGGCCGTTTGATTCAAAATTTAATTTAATTTTGAATATATCTTTGTTTTGTACGGTAAATTCTAATAAAATTTGAAATAATATTTTTAAAAAAACTACCTACCACGATTATAAAAAATACTTTACAACTTTTTTTTATGTGGCAAGAAACAGCGTTTCTTAATACAAAATAATCTTAATAAACTGACTACGATCAACATCTATCATAAGTTATTATTTTAGGTTTATGAAGTCTTTTTGTCGTTTAATCGAGTTTTCTTAAATTGCGATGCAGAGCAAAAAAAAAGTTAATAACCCCCTTCTGAAATTATTTTCTGGTTGTGTTACTTATGCCACCCACTCCAAGTCTGATGTCATTAATATCTTTGCCCAAATCATTTTATTTTTAAGTCTTGACAAATGCTTTCTTCATTTGATTAATACGTGTATACATTTTAGGGAGCCTCTTTTCAGTTATTAAAATTGATAAATGAGACTTTTTTTATATTTAATTTCTAGTTTTAAAATTTATTCAAATTTAAAATAACACACACACACACACATATATATATATATATATATATCGAATATCCTTTTTAAAAAGTATAAAATAAACTAATTAGGGCAATTTTATCTATAAACGATAAGCTAACAGTTTTCCATTCAATAGATTAATACTATATATACTACAAATTAATTAATATCGCTGTTTTAAAAAAAAAAAAAAAGAAATTTAAAGATCTCTCAGGGCGAACTTGATCCGAAATAATCCGTTTCCAAATGTTTTGGGTCGACGAACCGCTCAGATTGTTTGCGTTGTATTAGTTATCGTCCGGATGATCGTTCGGTTGGCCGGTCAACCGATGTCTTGACTTAGGTACTGAAATAATATGATCAGGGTGACGACATCTGTAAACGTGGCAATAACAACAGATTGCTCTATTGATTGTACGCGCAGTCATAGGCGTCTAAATTAAGGTAGTACGTTATTTTTGAGGTCGTATCTATATAAGGGCAACATCAATAGGTTAAATAAGCATATCACTCGTCAGTTAGTAACAATAAAACCACAAAGATTACAATAATAAAAAACAAGTCTTCTTTATTGTTTCCTCGTAATGTGCTAGTAGGTAGACACGCATTAGTAAATAGCAATTGATGATTTTAAACATCAACCGTTCATTGATAATTATTTGACTCGTTCGCTCATCATATAATGTATAAATACAATACTATTAAATGACTATGATTTTTGCAACGTTCTTTAAAATTGTGTAATAAAACCAAGAAAAAGTATCTTTTAAACCTATCAAAATCAAAGAAAATTGTTTAAAATAAATGTCAAGTGAATAGACAATTTTAGTGGTACCAATAGCTTAAACATCAAGACACACAATTTTCCTTCGTGAAATCCCAGGGTCATATAAATTATGATTTTAATTTTTACATGTCTAAGTTGGTAGCATCTCAAGAAACCAAAAAAAGTTTGAGTCGTGCTAAAATCTCGCGGTACATATAAAATTTATTTCTATAAAAATACACACTGTGACCTGTAAATATTCGAATTCAAGCGACCTTTTTTTTTTATCGAACTTAAGTTTATTACGCTGTGTCAGTTATAGGATATGATACGAACCGGATGTTTATTTCTTTCTTGCGATCGGTTCAAATTCAACCGAAATCGTATGCACCAAAATCATTGTACATGTTTTAATTTCAATTTTACTCGAGTAAAAATGTTCTAATCAATGGATTTATTTAATCTAAACACAGATGCGGTCATTGTTCTAAATAGCTTACAAACAAATCTATTTATTATGTTTGGCGTTTCGCTATTTTATTACAAATACCACTCTTTCAATGTAAAGCGTTTGGTGGTTGTTATCAAATACAACTGATCCCTCAATGACAGTTAAGGAACGGTAACGGTATTATTGTATATACTAAGACTCATCTTTAGACACGCCGGTTAAGACTAGATGCTCTAAACTACTATGCAATAACACCGGGTTGCCTCTTTTGGTCAGCTCATCTATGTAAACCACTGCTAGAGATAAATAATTAGAGTCCTACGTATAAGTTGAAGTGGACCGATAGGGTCTTCTTGGGCAGTGCAATAACGTCTTGTCCAAAGGGGCTTATCTGAATTTAAATGATACGACCCATAGTACAATGGCCTTTTTGATTGAATTCCGGGTTGCGTGACATCTCTGAGTGTATTTATCCCACAGGGATTGTGTCATAGCTTTCTATGACATCCTAAGTCCACATGGCTCAAGACATCAACTTTGTAAGGGTTCTTAGCATGACAAAAATCGGCTACCGTGGCCGTTCTCTAAGCGCACAAAGTTGCTGCTAATCATAAAATGAGTATAGCTATAAATTTTCAATATTTCATAATTATTAGTTAACAATTTATTTATTTTTTAATTATATAAAATAATATTTTCAAATAGCTAAACTTTAAATTATTTTTTCGCTCAATTTAGCACATAAATTAAATGTTTGGCATCATAGAAAAATATTTATACGTTTTTTTATCGACAAATAATTAGAAATAAATTAAACGCATACAAATAAGTAACGTCAATAGATATTACCAATAAGATGTATTGTTGCGTTACATAATTATTTTGATAATTATCAACACTTCTAAAATTAGAGTTATTTTATCTGATTGATATTTTTATGCCTATCCTATGCGCCTTGTTTGCGACTCTAATAAAGCAGTGACTCGTGACAAGGCCATGACGAGAACACTGGTAGTCGGTTAATCCGAACTGCTTTCCAATAGTACTTAAATAATGATCGATTTATTAATTAATTTTATCGATGGCTTTGATTTACGCTAACAATGGCCAATTAGTATAATATATTGAAAGTATGTTCAATTAAGTTTAACGCTGAAACAAAAGAATAATGATACTCGAGTTTAAATCGGTAGATAATGACTCGTTATTTTAATAAGTGCAACAAGTAAAGGTTTAGTTATTTGAATATTTTTCATTAGAGTCGGATTAAAAAGGAGGAATTTAAACTTTTGAGATACTAAGTACACAAATCACAATAACATAATATGGTACGATCGTATTACGAACAAGCGATAATAAAATCAAAATTAAAACTCTTTAAATTCGTTTGGAGTTTAACGAAATAATCACATTTTACACGGTCGAAAGAGCGCAGCAAACCTTAAAACATTCTCCTCCGATCAAAAAATAATGAACACGAATTCCGGATATTTATTAAGACGTGACGCCGCTGCGGCAGACGCTATTATGGTCCTCGCCGAAGAGCAGCTAAAAAACTTGTGGAAAATGTGATTTATAGAAAAATGCAAGGACGTGTTGCGATGATTTCTCAGGTACTCACACTCGTGTCGGCGTTTATGCTGATAAGGAATTATAATGCGCGTGTCTTTTTGCCCGTGGAATTCTCTATTAGCGCATCTTCTGCTCCTCTGCGATTCCACGACTCGCGACGCCCGGCCAA